GAAAAAAGTAATTCAATTTTGGAATAATTTGAGGCTATTTCAGAACAATGCACTCAGAAACTTCTCTTTACATGGTCTGCAACCATAAATATGGGCTTAAAAAAAGAGATGGAAAAAGATACAACTCAGCATCACATTTTAGATTTGAATTTAAATATGACAAATTACAAGAATGATATGGAAAAAGATGTTAAACTGGATTTACAAATAAAATTGGCTGATATCTTAATAACTAAGAGAACATACAAATAATAAATCAGAAGGGTGACTTGGATAAGTTTCTTATCCTGGATTTACAAAAGAGTTGTGTTACACTGTTTGAGGGAGTTCTGAAGCAAGAGGAATGAAAAATAACTGGCTTTTGGAACGCTATTTAGAAGCTCCAATATTTTTAAAAGCAAAAAGAAGGAATATAAAGTTGGTTCATTTGATCAAGGTTAAAATAGATCTGCATTTTTAGCAGCATTAATGGGTTTTTCTTGACTAGGACTGAATATGAAACTTTAAAGATTTGTTTATAGATATAAAACATGGGAAGAAGAGATCCATTATTGAAATGTTAGAAAAGGTGACAAATTACTGGATTTGTTTATACTTGCCATAATGAAAGGAAAAGTTATTTCTTTATATTAAAAAAATTAAAAAGAAACAAGAAAATAAATCAAGTTGCCATGATTCAGTTTCCAGATGACTGCGAATCTTCATCAACTTATTTCCACACATTTTCTGAGATTGGTGCAGAAGGAGTTGGTACATTGCAATGACTCCCTGCCTTACTAACTTGCTTTGACTAGGGAAGCTGCTTGGATGAACAGCAAAAGGTCTTAGACCAAGAAGAAAATGAGTCCAGTTGTCATGTCTCAATTTCCAGATAGGTCTACCTGGATGACCGAGAATTTTCATCAATTTCTCTATATAGCTTTTTTCTTTATATTTTTCCATCTCGCTACACTTTTTAATTTTTAAAAATCTTTTTCTTAATTTGCATTAATTTTTTATCTTTGTATTTTTAAACTTTAATAAAAATATTATAGGAAGTATGCTAAATGCAGATCAATATAGGTAGGTTCTGATCACTTCGTTCTCTCTTCTCTTTTCGCAGTGTTGATATTTCATTTACAATAAAAAATCTGCCATCTGCTCTTAAGAAACAGCTCAATTAAGGTTACTGTACTCTTTGCTGAGCAGAAACCTGAGCCTGCTTCCAGACAGATATTACTGAGAAGATATTAAATATATTACTGATTTGTTCAATGCTCTGAAGGATCATAGGCAATCACAATCAGTGTAGAGGATTCAGAGTCATATATTATGGAACAGCATGCTGTACTTCAAGAGGTGGAGTTAATTGTGTCACAGAAGGTTGATCATTTGGGTGAGCAAATGTAAAAGTGATTTGCATATATGCCCACCAGATTTTCCTTCCTAGCATTGTTTACGTCACCTAAATCAACATTTACCAAGCATTACACTTGGGAAAGACACCTTAGACTTAAGAGCCTGAACTGCATATGGATGTGAGCTCCACTCGAATACAGTGGAAACGAAGAGGGCAGAAGGAATGAAACAACTAAGCTTTGGGCAGTTAAAGTTTCCTTTTTTTCTTTCCTGTCAGGATTTGACCCCAATTAAATGATGAAAATATAGGAAACTGGAAAAGTCCCAGATCACCAAATTAATGTAGATTTCTCTATGACCAAGTGCATGCATGGAAGGGTGTGCCCATGGCCTTGGGTCTTTCAACATTTTCACCAATGACTTGGATGACGGTGTTGAGATAACTCTTATGGAATCTGCAGATACCACAATGTTGGGAGGGGTAGTCAACGCCTTAGAAGAAAGAGAGAAGAGTCAGAAAGATCTGAACAATGAACTGAAATGAACAGATTGGAATTGAACAAGGACAAAAGTCACATTCTACAACCGAGGGGGAAAAGTGCAAAACACAAATACCTACAGTATGTGAAAGAGTTGATTTATGGGTGGGTTGGAGAGACATTGATTTGCTTGGAACTGGGGGGAAAACAAACCCCAGTAATCATTCCCCTTTGTGTTCTATGATGCTTCTTGAAAAATTGCTCTCCTTGAAGGGCAGTTGAAACTTTTGGGACCAATGAAAACTTTTGGGCAACCCAGTTGGAATAGGAAGGGATCTGTGAGGGAGGCATGTATATATTCTATAAGCAGCTTTCTGCTGGGAAAGCAACATTTGGATTTCTGCACTGAAAAGGCACTGGTGGCCTTATTTTGGGGTGGAAGCTGTGAAAATTTCCCTGGGGCGGGGGGAATACGACACATTTAGAAATCATTATTCTAAATTAAAATAGAGAGAATAGGCACTTTCCAAATTTCCCTGAAAAAAATATGACACATTTAGAAATATTTAAGTTAAAATGGCGAACCTATGCCCTTTCCATCTGTGAAGAGCATAGAAAATAGATAATTTGGGTTGTGTGTTTTCCTCTTCCTGTTGATGGTAACCTCCTTTTCTTCCTTGAAATTTAAATCAAGGTTGTGATTGGATAGCAGACTCCAGGAAGAGTCATAACCAATCACCCTCATTAACTGCAGAAATCACATTCTGATATTTTTCATTTATGCTTCCTTCACAGTTACTCCCTGAATTTATTTTCACAGCCTTTTAATTTAAAATGCTGAGACTGATGTCTCTGAGGAAAGTCTAGAGTATGTAGGTGCAATCAGTATTCCCAGAAGAAATCTATCTGCATGGATGACATAAACAGATCATCAGCTATGGAAGAGTAATAGTCAGTAGTGATGTAGTCATACATATTGAAAGAGGACCCTGAAAACTCTACTTGCAGGCAATGCTGTTGAACAGGGCGGGAATTGTAGAGGCAACCTTGAATGCAGAGGGGGCGGGGAGAAGAAGGGCAGAAAAAGCAACAGTTGAGAATCAGCTCAACTGGAGCTATCCCAGGACTTCCTGACTGAAATGCTCATGATGCATCATATTTTTTTCAAAAAAACCATTTCTGTCCTTATCTGAATCCTGCTCTTTTGCGTTCTGCTCATGGCCTTGATACGTGGCACTTGTTCTCCCTCAAAGCTCAATCCCAACACTAACCAGTCTCTGGTCCCAGAGCAATGTGTGAACAGGACAGACCCAAATCCTTGCGCAAGCAACAACCTTACCCTGCTTGGTGGATCGGATGCTGGTGTGGTTGCTGCCTCTGGAGCGGGATCTGGAGCGGGATCTGACACCGAGTCTGGTTCCTTTTTGTCCTCCTCTTCAGCTTTGGCTTCTACTGTTGTCATTGTGAGGTACCCTTCTTGCAAACACTGTTCAAAATGGGCTCCTTTCCTACCAATGAAGCTCTTTTGTTCCGGCGTTGATTGTGGGATGTCTCAGCACATGGACTTTGCCTACCCTCTGGCTGCCCTGATCCTGCTTTAGTGATTTATACAGAGTGGCAGCACTAAGCCCCCTCCTTGGCTCAAGGCCACACCCCCATAACAATCCCACTCTCTGCGCAGGGATAAAAATTCATATTTAATAAACACAGGCATCCAATCTGCTCTGTCCATCAGGTCCCGATAATCTGCATAAAGATTATCCTGAATAATTGTAATACTCTTTATTAGGGACTGTGGATCTATGTGCAGGAGGATGCATATCTTTGTGCACAGTTCTGTCATACTACGAAGGAGTATTCTTGATTTGCAACACTTCCAAATATTATTTTGCCTTGTACCCATCCTGATCCTAAGGGAATCCGAAGGCATTCCTTGGTTGGCAATCCAATACATTTGGTTCCCAAGTGAGAAAATTCCATTGCCCTGGTTTTGGGTGCTGCTTGTTTGACTTGTTTGAGATCCTGGCCCTCAAGCTGACTCACAATCTTTAGTTGTATCACCTGGTGCCCAGCCTTATGATTCCATAATAAAGAGTTACGTTTGTAAAGCAAAGATAAACTTCCCTAAAGTGTAAAAAGTTATTGCCAACTTTTGTTTTGATAATATTTGGCCTGGTATGTTAACAAATCTTTGGCACAATCATAGCAGGAAGAAAGCAATTGGCCTGGATTAGTTGGGTGGCAATCCTGTTCTCACTTGGTAATTGCTTATCAGTAATCTGAACATGAGCAGGTCACTTCCTTATTCCCAAGCTCACCCACCTTCTCTCTTTCTCCTACACAGATCTATTGTACATTAATAAAAGAAAATTAAATATTTGCTGGAAATTCAGTAGGCCAGCAACACTGATGTTGCTCTGTCAGATTTAAAGCCAGAGCATCTTCTGAAACACAACCAGCCTTGTCTTTGGCAGCAAGATCATTTGATACTTCCTGCCTTCCCTTACGGGTGGTGGATGGGATGGATATGGGGATAAATAAATCTAGAGATTTGTAGAACCAGCCCTGTACTTTTGTAATGTATTTGCAGACCAAAAACCAGCATTGGGGGGGAGGGAAGTGGGAGGGGGAGAGCAAAGCAGGTGAACTACATGCCCATTGGGTAAAGGAACCAAATGTTGATTTTAAAATTGTCTTAATTGTGTGACAATTAGAATTAGTAATATGATAGTGAGAAGGAAAGCAGCATCTGTCTTCCATGATCCATAAGGTGTTTGTGACTATGAGAATTAGGGAAGATCTATTGCACCTCCCTCCCCCGCCCCCAAAGTGTCCTCTAGATGCATTCTAGTCCACGCTGGAGTGGTCTATGGTGGGGAGAAAAGGGGATAGGACAGAGGAATAGAACAGGGATGAGTAAATCTTTCTGCTGCTGTTGTGAAGGAGTACTGGTGTGTATCCAAAGTGGACCTTGCTTAGTTGGTTGGCTCTGGAGGTCAAGCAAGTGGCAGTTAACCTTGAGGGCAGGGAGATGCCAGAAGATTAATACAGCTTTGCAAGCTCAGGAATGGGACCTGTTACTGCCTCTAAATTAAAGTGGAGGCATATTGCAACACAGGTAACATGTCCAGCCAATCCTGGCAGCAAAGCCCAGGACAGGTTTTCATAACTGGGATGGGGAGCAGGGGGGTTAACCCTAATGCCAAACCTGTTCAGGGAGAGAGAGCAGGATTAGGTTCCAGTGAGGTCCCACAAGCAAATTTAGACGACTGCCCAGAAGCATCTGGGGAGGTGCCCCATTCACTTACACTTTCAGAGAACGGTCCCTTGGGGGTCCTGGTGCTGGCATAGCGGATGCAGCTGTCATAGTCTCCAAGAAAGGAACTGGGAAGAGTTTGGTAGGGGCGGCCCGGCATGGAGAGGGCCCTGAATGAATATAGGCACAACTTCCGTGGACGCTTTGCATTTCCAAAGCTGCTTTTCTTCTTCATCACCTAGAGAAAGGAAAGCCGATGTGGGGGGGTGGGGGGTGTGTTAGAGCACCGCAGCCAGAGTGAGGAAGACTCAGGCTCAGGTCCCTGCTCAGCTAGAACTCTGATGGGAAAATTTTGAACCACTCCCTATATGTAACCAAATCTGCCTTGTAGGCCTGTTGGAGACAAAATTGGAAGTAGTGTTCTGGCAGAGAAATGCAAAGGAGAAAGAGAGAGAGAGAGAGAGAGAGAGAGAGAGAGAAAGAAAGAAAGAAAGAAAGAAAGAAAGAAAGAAAGAAGAAAGAAAAATGGAGGGAGGAAAGAAGGAAGCAAGGGGAATCAAAGTGTCAATTAGACTTGGGAATACCTTCTTTCCTTACCTCTCCCCTTGACATCCTATCTACCGCCTTCTCCAGTTAGAAAGACACCTTCCTCTTCCAAATTGTCACTGAGTTGTTATTTTATGGTTTTGCCATTGTGACCACAAAGAATGGGCTTTGAAATACTGCTCTTGCTTTCTGCTCCCTGGTAAAGTACTTGCCGGAGTTGGTAGCCAAATCTCAGAATATAATCCAAGTGAAGTGACTCTGGAGTCGCTTCTTCTGTGAAAAGCTTTTTACCAGACAAGACATGGCCTCACTTGATGTCAGGCGATCTGGCCCTGAAGTGATGGCTTAAAAAAAAACCCATGGTTGAGTAAGGACAGACCAGCATTAAGAAAACTGCTCTGCCCTTCCACACTTCTTTCTAAAGCCAATATTGTTTCAGGGGTGAGCCCAAAGCATCTGACAAGTCTGGGTCATCCCTGGGAAATTGCAACATATACATTTTCCCCTCCAAAATTAACAGATTTGTTGTGCAGTATGTGCAATGTTGTGTGCAACCCTTTCCTCCCTTTCAGTATCTTCTACTGNATGTGCAATGTTGTGTGCAACCCTTTCCTCCCTTTCAGTATCTTCTACTGATGGCAGATAAGTCACTGTGCCAACCAGAAGGACCCATCAAATTTAGCCCTTCTCCTTAAACCAGGGTTTGGCAACCTTAAACACTGAAAGAGCCATTTGAACCCATTTCCCACAGGAAAGAAAAAAACACTGGGAGCCACAAAACCCTTCCTGTGCCTGACTATTTCCTGAGTGGCCACAAAACTAGTATATGAAGTTGAATTAAACATTCTGTTTTCTTCTAAAACTGTTTTTTTCCCCTTGCATTTAACCATGGTTGGCCTACCGGGGTTGAAAAGCTCAAGAAATCACGTTCCAGCAGGTGTTGCACACTGGCAGTTGTGACGCATATTTTGAGCAACAGGGAGCCGCAGCAGAGAGATGAAAAAGCCATATGCGGCTCAAGCTGTGGGTTGCTGACCCCTGCCTTAAGTCAAGCACAGAAGCTCCCATTGCAGGCCCCCAGTCAACATGATCTGCTTTCTTACCTGAGATGTTCCTGACATCCACTTCCTGCTTAGGAGCCTTCTGAAACTCTTTCTTTCTGCTGTCTTGTATGTGCTCTAACTCCTTTCTTTTTACACTAGCAAAAAACCAGGGCCCTTGGAGTTTTGTGGGCCTTGGAGCCTTGTTAGCACAAGCTAGTTTTGCCCTTTCCCAACACAAGTTTCTATGACTCCTGACTTCCTTGGGGAGAGGCGGTAAGAAAGAGAGACAATTGCAATTAGATTATTCTATAAAAAGCAGCAGAGTAAGTGTTCCGTCACCTTTGCTTCCTTTTCTTCTTCTTTTGGGTGGGTGGGCATCAGAAGTAAGCCATCAGAAGAATTTAAAATGTTTCAATTTTAAATCCTCTGCAACAAAGAAAAACTCAGTAGAAAGACTGGCTTTGCTTTGAGGGGAGCAAAGTGTGAGTGTATTGCAACATTGGGGGGCATACTTGGTTTGGCATTAGGTTAATCTAAAGAGGTTGTGAAAAAGTGTGAGAAGAGAGAATGGAAAACCAAAACCAGAACCAGATTAACACATGCTCAGAAATTTGCTTTAAAAAATGTATCTGCTACTCTTAAGTATACATTCAACAATGTCCTAGTGCTCATGATCTGCTTGCTTGTAATATTTCTTATATTTTGTATAGGTTTGAATGATTTGTGTCCATAACCACTTTACAGAATGACAGAACAGAGGAAGGCATCTTCATAGAGAATTCAACATGGGAATCAGGTGGGTCCACAGATGCCTGATTGCTTATCCCATCCTTGTTGGCTTCCTTGGGAGAGGAACGGTGGCAACATTTCAACATTCTTCATGTTGGCATATGATGTTCTCAGGAAGTTGTCCTTCCTTCTCTTGGCACCAAGCAACACTTGGACTTCTTCACTGGTTCCTTACTAATAATGAAAACCTTGACTAAACAAACAGGCACGACTCCAGAACTGCTTACCTGCAAGGTCCATGCAGAAGGTTCCTTCACCTAGAAGCAATGCCCAGGCATAGGGAAGACTGCTTCAGAAGAGCAAAGCAAATGGACAGTCGCTCTTAAAAGTGATTCTGAGGAAAATGAGGGCTTCTTCTTCTTGTCTTCGCATGGTTTAATTACAGTGGTTTTAGGGAAACTGCCACACTTGTAGGTGTTAATACTCCATTCCATTTGGTGAATCAGTTTTATGGTAGCCCCTTTTGTAAGTTTTAAGTTAAAGTGGAAATTTTGAGGGCCAGGGAATGCTTCACAAACAGTTCGTGTATGTGTTAAACTTCTGAACAAACAGTGCTTTATGCACTGTGCAGCATTTCACCTTTTCCTATTGAATGTGAGATTTTAGTACTTCCACAGAGGCATCCCTCTCTATTCCAAGAACAGCAGAGTAGCCTAAAAGCTCTAGGGCTGAATGCTCTAATTCAGATAATTCCCAGCAATTCAACTCACACCTGCCACAAAGTATGTACAACTTTGAAGTGATGTGCAATGCCCCTGGTTACTTCCATTTAAAAAAATGGCATCAGCAGGTGGCTATTTTACTGCAGTGCAACCCCAACATTTTGATTCATTTAACAATTTAATAAAATAAATAGCAGCAGGTTTGTTCTTAGTTGAAGTGGCCCCAAATAATGAGACCCATTCAATGTTCTTCAGACATCTGTCTTGAACCACATGATGTCCAGGTAGGAAAATACAGAGGGTAGAACTATCCAATGGCTGGTTACCAGTCACAATTGTCACCTATTGCTCTGATATCTGAGGGAATAGGTACGCAGGGTTTGTGATTGGGAGGTTTGGTCACAACAGAGAGCAGGAGGCTGAACTACACAGCTCTATGGTTTGATGTTACAGAGTTGCTCTTATGATTAAAATATCCATTATTAGCAAGCAACGCTAAGATAGTTTTATCCAAAGTATTTTCGGTAAATGCCTAGAGGTGTAATGGCCATCCTTATTTCAAATGAATGTGTGTGTAGTCCTTAATTACATATGAAATGTTTATAGATTTTTTTCAAGACATCAGGAGTGGGAGCAGACATGCTCCCCGTCTACTTCATTCCTTTGTATTCTATGTAGATGCAGAAATCAGGTGTGCATCTTAGAAACAGGACCAACCTATGGAAATCCTATTTGCCAGGAAATGGTACTATCCAACTATTCTGGGCTGCAGCTTCTCATCTAGTTTGCTGCAATGTAATAAGAATATTTCAGTATGTTGCCCTCAAACTCTGAGAAATCCAGCTTCCATGGTTCCTATGAGTCTGGGGCATATAGGAACCGAAGTCCAAACCCAGCAGAGGCCAATATATTGAGGAAGCAATGTCACTGATGAAACTGACTCGGTTACCTGCGCTATAGATCTGTCCTGCTGATAAACTCTCTTGCATTTATCTTTTCTGTAGGTACATACTTACTAAAATAGAGTTAGGTATGTTGAGATTATTTTATTATTTTTGTGTTTGGTGTTCAGGAACTGCAAAGGAAGGAATATCTCATTAATTCAGACACATAGGCCAAGCGTAGTACACTGAGTAAAATCCAGGAAGGAAGTTAAAAACTAATTTCCTCCCATTTAATGCAGACTCAGCATGCCGTCCTTTTAAAATAGTTTAGTTCCCTTTCTGTAATAATAAAACAACTCTGAAAAATTCACACCTGAAGACTATAAAGTAGTTTGATCCTAATTGTCAAAAAGCACTCTGGCTGTAAGTGCTGTGTTCAACTGACATTTTCTGGTCCCTTCTCGTTTCAGCCATTGCAATATTAATTTAAAGGGGGGGTGATCAAACAAGGCTTGGATCACCTGCTATAACCCTACTTAAAGGTATTTAAAGAAGTGGCACACAGGAAGAGGTTTTCCCTCCCCATTACGCTGCTTCCTACGTTAAAAAAAATATACGATAGAAGCATATTACTCATTGGATCTCAACTGTTCTCCGGCACCAGTTAGCAGGCTTAGAATAGATTGGTTCAAGTGGGGTTGCTGGAGCTTGTCCAGTAATTAGGAAATGAGGTTTAAAAGCTCAATCCATCCCTTAAACAGATTGGGATATGGGTTGCTTGCTAAATTTACCATCGCACTAGGAGCTAATTGCATAACTCAAAAAGGTCTTCCAGCTACACTATGCTAGCATCTGTGGGAGGTTTCAAGAAGCATGGCAAAGGGCTGCAAAGCCTCACGACTACGAGACAGTGAAATTCACCTGTGTTTTCCTGCCAGTTTTTCATTTGCAAGATAATTTATCTTAGAGATGTTTTCAAAAAAGAATATTTCAGAAAAGGATTTGAGGAAAGTATTCTGTACTTATTTAGAGACAAAGTGGGGAAGAATATTGTGTCAATGATAGAATCTCTCCTCTCTGGTCTGGTCTCCCTTGGTTAACCATATAGGCTTCCCCCTACTGGACTTTTCCACAGTAATACTAAAATGACTAGCAAAGGGAGTTCAGCTCTTGAAAAGTTGTTTGACACTGTCTTTTCTTTGCAAAATGTCAAGAGAAATTGCCCACTACATTTGAAACTGTGTCCCTAGCTCTACTGAATAAGTTTTTCCCTCCAGTGAAGGATGAAATGATGGAAGGAAATGGAACCAAATTAAAATGGAAAGGCATTCTTCCAAAAATATACTGCAAAATTGTGCGTGGTTCATCTTTGAAACTCTTTTTCAATAAATGACTCCCTTTTTCCGCAGAACAAAGTCTGGGGGGAATTGCCATCAGCCCAAACTATCCTCCTGATAATCAGGTTATGAAAATGGTTGTCTGTCCTGCCCTAGAGCAGAGTTCATCAAATTGCATCATGTGGAACCTAAATGGGGTTGGGTGAGAGACTAAGAACTAAAAGAGGGAAAAAGTTCACTTTTAAATGCAACCCTTTTTCAAAACTAGAACTTCTTCTCTTGGCTCAGGGGTTCTTAGAATTTTCTTTTAAACCGGTTCTGTGGCTTGAAAAGTTTGAAAATCCCAGCTATAGACAGCATTCTTCTCCGGCATTGTGTATAATTTGTGGATTATACAGGCAATCATGGAAACATTTACCTTCATCTACAAAAGATGCTGTAAACGCACAAACAAAAATCTATAAAATTGCTTAAAGGACTTAAATTAGATCACTGATAAACAAGTTTTTTCTTTGCTTTTCACAGTCATTTTCTTTTACCAAGCCAGAGGGGGAAAGTATACCTGGCTCTTGCACTGGAAGCTTTTGGCAGTGTAGCTACAGAAGTCATTCCAAAACCATCTTATACAACAGCTCCTTCTTTGCTGCTTTCCCAAGCAGAAAGGGATCTAGGTGGAGACTGTCAAAGAAACATTTAGCACCAATTTGTACATCTGTCTGTCTGTCTCTCTCTCTCTCTCACACACACACACATCCCACTCTTTCGACCCACTATCCAGCTAAAGACAGCTGCTTTACAGTAATTATCTAAATGGATAGTAATTGCAATTAATTCCCAAGCAGGAATCAGGACTTAAAGCTTTACACAGGGCAGATTGTGTGGGGGTGTCCAAAAAAAGATCTGCAACAGGACATCACATAAAAACGACTTATAGGATACTGAGATCTCAACCCCTTTCATCATACAAGAGTTTGCCAGATGGAAGTACATAAAAGTTGTATTATGTACTTCTGAATCTAAAAAAATGAAACCCAGCCACAACACATAGGAAAAATAGCAGAATCCAACTAGCATGAATGGGAAATTGATTCACATACTAAGTCAGACAGTCAATGAATCAGCCACATTGTAGCCCATCCCAGGTCATTAATATTGCCACATAATGATGGATGCGTTTGGAACATCTAGTATTCGTGCATATACAGTATGTATTAAAGATGACCGTGCATCAATTTTCAGGTGCAAACATTTATCACAATGTTATACTGGTGTAAAAGTATTGAAGCAGAATAGTGTGCCATCATTTTAAAATACATTTGTGTGGTTATGCACTGTGTTACTCGCACCTTAGGTAGAACTGTCCCTTCTTGCAATAGTTGGATATGCTTCATACATTAAATATGAATCCATTCTAAAAACCTTTGCTTGTATTTGCATGGAGTTTCTTATAGAAACAATATTCTGCCTGAATTACTCAAGAGATGCATCACAGAATTTCAATAAGGGTTAGCTATAAGAATCACCCTGTTGTAGATGTAACTCAGAAGCTGGAACATTAACTGGTAAAAATTATTCTTTCCCTGTTATGATTGTGCTTTGGGCTTTAAGAATTAATACAATTCTTAATATGGGTTTACAGCTTGAGTTGAAGTCTACTTGGAAACAATCAAAGTAAAATAGAAGGGGAGATATGGGAATTAGCTAAAGGAATCAATACACATTGGAAAGAGAAATCTACAACTAATTTGCAGTGGTGGATTGTTGCTACGTGCTTGTAACCTTTAGAATTTTTTCAACAAAAGGGAAAAGAGAAAACTTGAGCAATAGGAAGCTTTTACAATTACATATTATTTCTCCTCTTATTATTATTGTACTTGTCGGTTATGAGATTGTATTGATCCTTTAATACTTATATATACCTGTACTTTTGCTGATTAGTTTAGCATTAAAATATTAATGAAAAAGGACCTCTCTACCTGCAATTATCACAGGATGTAAAGCTATTCCATGTTTAGCACAAAATCAAAAGGCGTATCTATTTTCCTCTCATGGCACAGCAAAATTATCTTTCTCTATTTTTATTTGTCTCTGTCACAGCCAATAGCTACATTTTATCTGGAGAGTTCAGTGAATGCAGCTTAAACGTATACAACATCAGATAGAGCAACATAACATACACCCTCTAAACATTAAGAAACAAATACACAAGAAAGCCTGAATAAATCTGTGTCACAGAAAAAGCTAAACAGTTCAAATGTAGATTTAAAAAACAAAAACAAAGATGAAGCCTTGTTTATTTTCACAGGCAACTTATTCTGGCTCCAAGGTGATCATTTATGCCAGATAAGTCTCTGTAGGATGAGTGTCATCATGGTCTCCATCTCACCTTTTGGGAAGATGTCTGAGCTGGACCATCTGAAAATATCCCTAATATCTTTTACAGAAATGCATAAATAATCGGTATACATTTATTGAAATTTACTAAACTTAAAATACTGTAACATCTTTTAATAATAAATACGTTAAATATCTGAAGGTATTCTGAAGACAATTTGGAGCTCTGGTTAAATGTTTAATTTCAATATTTTAAACTAAGGCCAGAAATACAAGCAAAGACACTTGTGGAGTGTAAAGCAGTAGCCTACATGTCACTGCATCATGGTGAACAGTCTTGCTGCAACATTTTTGACCGGCTACTGTTTCCATGCTGTTATCAGGAAGTACCTTGTAGTATGTTGTGGAACAAGGCCAAAATAAAGACACTCATAAATAATGTCTTCAACTGGCACAGTAACTTTCCAAGATAAAGGCTGACATACCCAATTCTTTATATGGGAAGCAAAAATCTTTTTCTTCTCTATCACAGCTTGACTTCTCCTCTACAGAAGAGAGAATGCCAACAATCTTGAATTTCATATTTATTTTAAAGACTGAGATTCCTCGGCTGAGCTGTGCAATCTTTTTAACGAAGACAGCACATGACTTCTTCAGCAAAATCATCTTTCCCACTTTTTAAAAGCAGCAATCAATCATCCTTTCAAGCTAAGTGTTAAAGCCAAGCTTCTAAATGTGGGAATCCAGAAATGAGAGTTTGTTCCAGAATATTTTCATAAAGGAGGAACAAGCAATCACTTTTGTTGATCGATTTCCTTTGCTGGGAGAAAAAAGAAAGGAAAGAAATAGGCTCTGATGAAAGCCATCAAATTTGTGTAAGGTCAAGTCAAAAGAATTAATTTCTTGGCAAGTCATCATGTAAGGGAACAAATAACTTCTAGGCAAGAGTAGGAGAGACTTATTCATGAACTACATAGCCCTTCCTTCTTCCCTTATTTGTGGGAGGGCAGAAAAATAAAGGGTGTCCAGAAACCACAACATAATAAGAGATGAAGATAGACCCTTATCGTCATTCTAGGCCCCGGGTGAGGTCCTTCCAGTGTCAATTCAATCATGATAGCTGGCTAAAGGTTGGATCAAGATAGGGCCAGCCTCAGAAGAGTTCAGACAAAGGCACTGATGAGGAAGAAGCCATCTTGCTGAAGAAAAAGGTAGCTAATAGAACAGCTGCCAGCAAGTCTCTTAGGGGCTAGAAATTTTAAGTCTTCAGCGGTGTCTGCTCAGTCAGGTTGCGTACATCTTCCAGGAACTGCTTGGGGGTCAGGATGTGGGATGACCCTGTTGGGAAGAGGAGGATTACCACAGGAACCCATAAAAAACAAGGCACATGTGAAGAATCAGCCTATCCATTGACTGTCTACTTACCAATCAGCACTTCCCATTTTCCATCAGTAGCCTCCGTGACTTCATAGGCACAACGCATCTCTGACATGGTAACACCGCCAAGCACATACAGGATAAGACGGGGTCCTGTCCTGTACTCAGTTGCTGTCTTGGTCTTGTGCCAATGTCCAAAACGGGCACTGTGAGACAAAAATGGATATGGGAAGAGGGACCATCTGCAAAAAGACTGTCAACCTAGCAATCTGGGAAAAACAGCCTTTCCTTGCATTTGGGAGCAAGCAACACCAAAACAGGTCCAAGAGATGAAGGATCCCCACCCTCCCAAATGTACATAGAAAGAATCAGCTCTATCATATACTCTTCAGCCGTTCAAGGAATTGCACCTACAATTCTTTCAAACAGGAGCGTACGTGATGTGAGCGTGTTCTTCAACACAGCTTAAGTGGAAAAGCAAACATCTTTACCTAAGAAGTGAGTACATTTTCTCCTTATCATTTACATTTAGATCTGGTGTCTGTGTTAAAAATGGTGCCGCCTTATGCTTTCTTCTATTTGGAGCATGACTTACCTCACGGCAGTTTGGGAACAGGGACCAGGGGCCGGGCAGGACACATAAGGCCAGACCTTCTTATCCAGCTTGTCTTCAATGGCATCCTGTGTCAAGATGAGCAAAAGTAAAAGACAGGTTCCCTGCCGTATGGCTGATCCTGGCTGCTCAGTTTGCATGCCCGGGCACAGCCATTTTCGTTTGTTTTTCCCCCTGGGGGTGTTCTATTCTCAAACATTTCATCCTAATCACAACTACTATCTAAGCAAGAAGTCAAAGTTGTGCAGTTTGGCTGCACAATAGATCTGGATTACAGAACAACATAGTAATAAGGACTTCAAGATTTATCTTTTGTTTATTTTCTATGGCAAGAGCTTAATATTTTTTCTTGTGCAATCCAGGTCACAAAGATACACAGGGTAGATGGATTCTCAACTGGATTTGCCTCAGGACTGAAGCTGAATCCATCTTCAAGTACACAACCAACACTCAAGGCAGCCAGCTCCCTCTCCCTCCTTCTAAGTACCTCCATGACATCCTTAAGAATAGGAATCCACCGGGAGAGTTGGTAAGTAGGCTCTAACCGCACTTTCCTCACAGGCTTCAGGTTTCCAGCAGTGTCCTGAGAGTAGAAAAGCCCATTAAAAAAAATAAAAAGATGAGGAGAGAAGCCAGAAGCATCGCAGAGAGACTGGCTGGGAAAAAAGCATGCTCTGCTGAGCCTCGTGGAAATCCAGCTGGACAAACCACTGTTTGGGAGGTCTTCGGACTGAAAACCTGTCCTGGAGGGACAGAGGAGAAGAAGGGATGGCTCTGATGTTCTATCCTTCCTTGTCTTGGGAAGTTGGAGACAAAACCCTTCAAACCGGCAGCAGGGGCAGCGGCCATAACTGAATGACTGCTATAAAGCTGGGGCACCTGGACTAAGTTATTGGGCAGGAGTGGTGTCTGGAGCGAGTGTTGGAACTGGGCGAGTGATTGACCAACTCACAGAAAAAAGGAAAAAGCTGATTTTAATCTTAAAAAGGATCCCAAAGCAAAATTATTGGCTAACTAAATGTCTTTCGTGGAACGTTACTAAAAAAAGGTGGCAGAGGAGGCTAAGCATCAAAGCCTCAGAGGATTGTGGCTATGTGGAAGTGAAGGAAAAATTAACAACTAAAAGGAAGAGCCCTGGGGGGAAGTCTCTTTTCTCCTTATCTGACTCTAGTCTCTCTGGATTAAAATTGTTTTTGATGGCTATTGACAACTAGCTGTGGAATTGTATTGCTGTTTGGAGAGAGCCATTTACCTGTGAGCAGAAAAGACTACGCTG